AAGCTGAACTTCAAAGCCTTATATCTTTTTTTTGGTACGGCTGAGCTTTTTGAGATTGAACAATATGATAGATTGCTTACTTAAAAATGTATATTCCAAATATGAATAAGATTGTAAATAGACTGAAAATCTCAATAACTACCTTAAAATACAAACAAAATGCACATGGTGTCGGAAAATAAGAGTTCATTTATGAAACTTCTTTTGTTTATAACTTTTTAACGAACAACGAGCGACGGCTAAAATCTTTCGATTGCTGTTCAAGGAAGTGGTCTTGACAACATATGTCAAGGTCATTGACCTCTGAGAGTGCTCCGTGTTATAAATATTTACCGTAATTTTGAATCACTACGTTTCTATAATTTTCTATTCGTCGCGAATTACAATTAAAATTTGATAAAAAAATTTTTTTAAATAAAGAAATAGACAACAAAAAAGTAAACCAAACTAAAAGTTTCTTAATTAGGAAAAAAATAAAATTACCATAGTGAAGTAAAAATGTATAATTTTACAAGACATGTTTCCTATATCACATTTTTTATATATCATTATTAATTTACAATAATTTGTTTTTTATATTTCTCTTTTTCTATTATTGCACTACATTAATCTATTATTGTTATACGACATTGTCTAAAATAAATACTAATATTCACCTGAAATTAAAAACAATTAACATAAAAAGAAAAGTATTTTAACGATCCTTGTTTGCTTCTCATTTATACTCGCAATTAGTAGAACACTTTGTTTTGATGTTACATTTAAAATAATAACAAGATATCCAGGGATATCCACTTTTTCAAACAGTCCGGAAATGCTAAATATCTCGACGATCAACTCTAGCACAAAATATGTAAGAGACAAAGTTGTAGGATTTAAAAAAAGTACACCTAAATAGTAATAAGAAGTTGAGCTTCAGTGGGATCTGCAAGGTCATACAAAGATCAAGTTGAATTGTTTAAGTAGGACCTCTTTTTTTTATTGCATTTTCTAGCTTATTTCAAGAGCTTTGCAAAACATAATAAAATATTTTTTCATTATAAGTACTTTTCGAGTCATAAGGCTTGAAAGTTACAGTACCTCCGGGATTAGCATTACCTAAAGTGCATCGCGTAGAGATTGTACAGTCGAATTTACACCTCGTGCGCGCGCGCGCGTGTGTGTATGTGTGACATACCTTTCAAAATATTAGTTTCTATTTCTTCAATTAATCAAATGTTCAAAGTGTCTTTCTTCTACTGTTTGACAATGAGCTAAACGTTTATAAAAATTATTCACCACATTGCTTATTTCTTCTAAAGTGATCAGAAATGCTTTATGCATTATTCGTATCTTTACTGACGCGTGCGTGCGCACACACACAAAGAAGGTGTAAATTCGACCGCAGAACCTTTAACTGTGCACTTTGGGTAATGCTAGAGGCATTACTGTAACGTTTAAGCCTTATAACTCGAAAAGTACTTAATGCTAGCTCTTGAAATAAGCTATAAGAATATGTAATAAAAAAAGGAAAGTCTTATTTAAAAAATTCAACTTGATCTTCTTATGAGCTTGCAAACTCTAAAATCTTCTTATTACTAATTAGGTACATTTTTTAAGTCTTATAACTTTGGTTCTTACATATCTTTTGCTATAGATGATTGTTTTTGAGATAGTTAGCGTTTCCGGACTTTTTGAAGACCCTGTACACACACACACACACACACACACACATTATGAAAAATAGATACATGTATATAAATATATTTTATGTATTAAATATATTTTTTTCTTTCTTTCTCTTCGTGCGAATATAGAATAGTACCGTTATATAGAATAGATCGTTTGCGATTTTCAATTCTGTACAAGTATCGAGACAGCTCGTGCCAGCTGCGAAAATCGTCACGACGATTGTTATTTAGAAAGTCAAGCCTTCGCGTTCTGACGTCTCAGATCGTTCGGTATGATTGTTGTGAGAAAGGCGCCAAGAGAAAGAGTGACGCACAGTGCAATGTTCGCCCAGAAGTCGCCCCACACGCCGAACAAGTAACCGTAAAGTGTCGTGAAGACGATACCAAACACCTGCACCACTGCGTTTAGTATACCTGCTGCCGTTCCCTCTGGTTCCGGATATGTCAGTTCAGCGGCAAGTTCAAAGCCGACCGGCAGATAACCGGTCATGAAAAAGCTAAAAAAAAACAGTCAAAAATGATCGTTGCCAGAGAGAAGCTGGAAATTATTTTGTGTGAATTGAAACGGAAAGAAAAGTACAAAGAATTGTTTATTTATAATATAACAACAATATGTGTCATAAAAATTTGTTTTACCCCAAAATACCAGCAGTGAGATACACGACGTATATTTTTCCGCTGTCTAATGTGAAGGTGAAGAGTAACATTCCCAGAAAAGAACATATATACACTCCAAGCGTTGTCTCTCTATACGTTTACAAATATATATACATATATATATTTATATATGTACATCATATATATAATTGTACATGTATATATTTATTTTAAGTAGTACAATTGCAGAAAAAAATATTCTTCAATTACTTACTTGAACTTATGCGTTTTATCCAATACGATACCACACACGACAGAACCTAACATTCCAGCACAAACTATTGTAAGACCGATTCGACCGGCGTCTTGTTCATGACCCTAAAAAGAGTACAATAACCGCTATATTTTTTTTTCTTATTAAATACAGAAATACAACCCGAACTTACAGAAAAGTATTCGAGAATGATTTGATTCAGAAGGGTGCTTATTGCGTAAAAGATGCCAACATTGATGCCATAGCTTAGTAAGAGCAACAGATAGCCGACATTTGTGAACAGCTTCTTGATAGAGTCGGAAAATGTCTCATCGTTTTGTGTATTCTCTCTTTGCACAGCCTGAGCGGGGCTAGGCGGTAAAGGAGGTGCCGATTTAAAGTCTATAAATTAAGTACTAATTTTTAAAATAAAAAAACAAAACAAAACTGCAAAACATATTACTTATATTTTATATATACATTTACTGACAAAATTTAAGAAACAAAGTGGTATTTTTACCATTAAATTGCCCAATAAGACGCCGCACATTACTTCCGGAGTCATTTCCGAATAAATTGAATTTACTTTCAACGCTTCAAAATTTTTGATCACTAGGAGTAATATATGTATGTAGTAGTAATATATATTTGTACTTAGAAAAAAAATAATGTTGAATCAACAGCATTAGTTTTTGAAATATATTGTGTTGATGCAACATCAATTTTATTGTACTACACACAACAGTGTAGTTGCTTTAAGAATCTAGATATTAAACAATCACACTTACAATTGAATAAACTATATACTTTTACGACAGCCCATGACGTCAACTTTAATTAAAGCAACTCCATTATCTTCTGTGTGCATCGAAGTTTTTATTTAACTACTTTGTTCTTAATTTTTGTCAGTAAGTGTATATTTATTCTATATATAATATATATAATATATGTATATATGTATATATATATATATAATATATAAT